CTGTGAATATAATGAAATCCTGATTACATTTGTTCAGTTAGACATATCACAAATTTGTAATTTAAATATGTTATGTAAAGAAAGCTTCACACTCCATTTCTACATCAACAGCACAATGGAATTTCAGATGTTTAACGACAAAAGTGGGCAGAGCAGGCATATATAAATTCAGGCCCATTTCACACTAAGGTGGATTCAGTAATAGTGAGGAATGAAGGACAGAAGATTACGCATGAGTTTCGAAGGATGCTTAAAAAAATGTGAAGCCGCAAACAAAACACTGTCTTATTATTATGCATTTCCATGCTTTAAGAAATCACTGTCGATTTTTTACTCCACAGGGCAATGACTCACAGCTGGAGTTGTTTCGAATTGCATCTGAAGAAGAGATAAACAAAACTTTACAAAAGAGATTAAAGAAAACTTTGAAGAAGCAAAGGTATGATTAACACACTGACCGAAAATTGTTTTCAATAAAAGTCTGATTTTAAGCTTGCAAAGAAAAGCTTAATATTGTGTCTGTGGTTTTTCTCCCATGAAGTATCAACCTGTCAAGAACAGGTCAAGAAACAGCATATTGAAATTAGGATTCATTAAGCAAACTTTAATGAAATACAGTAGCAGGAAATCTCTAGTGCTAAAAAGTGATATCTTTCACATGTGAAAATTACACGTTACCATGAATTGTCCAGCTATTTCTTAGCACCTTATAGATATAAATACTCAAGTTTCAAATTCCATTTTGTGCAAGCTTAGCTTCAGTCGAACAGAATGCATGGTCGTTTGGAGATACAAATTTTATCTCCTCGTGTTGAAAATCGCTATGCTCACTCGTGACAGATCTTTTCAACACTCGAAGAGAAAATCTGTATCTCCCCACTCCTATGTAATATCCTCTATATAGTGACTGTTTTTGAATGAATTCTGATGAGTAATTATAGAGCAGAAAGCAGTCAAATCTCCAAAAAATGTATTCAGACAAAACAACATGGATTAATGGAGCAGATTAATTAATATTGTGGTCAAGAAATCCTTTTTTGTTCATCAAGCTTTCATTTTGCAGTCAATATAACTGTTAATGAATTACATTATAGGAAAATACAACAAACTTTTATCATAAAACAAAATTAAATTTTTGAAAGAACTTGGGGGGGGGGGGGGGGGGGGGGGTTTCAGCCCCTATTTCCACCGCCCGTGTGGAGCAGAATGCATAAATTATTTACAATTTGAAAAATAGAATAAAATAGATAACATAATATTAATATTAAAAGATACTTCAAACTTTCACAATTTTATTTTGACGGTATTTTATTTTTTTGCAAATAAATAACAATAATGTTGGGGCTTTASATCTGTATCCCTAAAAACCATATTCTCTCACGATCTATTTTTGAAAATTATAAAAGTTACCTCTTGTCTCCTCTTGCAGACCTGGAAATGAGCCTCATAACAATTGTGAGGCTATAGGAGACTACYCTTGTTGGGTGGTCKCCCTTGAAAAGRACACTAACCATAGCCTACTGTTTAAAGAAGGCTTGGGTTTCAATAAGTAGAGTATTAATCCTTGAAAACGTTTTGCTAGATTCTACTAATATTTTTCAATTGTAAAATCTACACA